CAGGACCTCCTGGGGAAAAACCAGGCCCAACACTAAAATTCAGTTTTTTTTCTTTTCTATAATTAAAGATATTTGTAATCATCCACACAATCACACAAAAGATGTTCTTCGAGCACGCTCCTCTGATGAAAAAGGACACTTCTCCAGAGCTCAGACATACATAATTAAATTGGTCCAATAAAATGCTGATCCGTTTGCATCAGGATAAATACAATGGATTATGGAGTCAGGAGCTTGAATCTAGAGGTGTAAAACCCGAGCCGTTCCAGAGAGGAGAACATGCTCCATCACATCATCTGTCCCTCTTAAGAGAAGAAACTAGGCTGACTGCTAAGGATGGAAACATCTGGAGAGGGTTTAATGACTTTACTCAGTTTGTTTCCGGTTTTATCCTGGTTTCAACTGTCAAGAATCAGGGAAAGCTGCAGTAAGAAAGGGGGGAAAAAAAAAAAAGAAAAAATTGAAGCTAGAGTAGCTGTGTCCCTGGATCCAAATGCCCAGGTGGACTAAAAGGATGTGTCCCAGAGTTGTCCACAGAGATGGTGTCGATTGGGACACAGATCTTCTCCTCTTCAGATTTTCTGGATCTTTTCTCCCACCACGACGGGGTTTTCTTTCCTGATCTTTGCAGCTGCTTCTGCTTTGTAGTCAAAGGAACAACTGTGGACATCAGAATAGCGGTGGGTTCCACAAAATACATTTCCACACCGGCATTCAAATCCTGACAAAACAGAAGTGAAAATATCAGTTAATCAGTTTACTGTATAATATCCAAAGTAACCCAATACATTTCACCATGTCAATGTCAGCTAGCCCCACGCAAGCAGGGTTTTGTGGAACCCTAAGGTTCCCCCAGAGGTTTAGAGGGGTTCCTAGTAGAGGTGCACCATAATCACATTTTCAAAACCGAAAATAATTTAAAAAATATATATTTAAATATTTTTAATTTTTCTACTTTACTGTTGGGGGCTTCAGGGAAATATTAGGGGGTCTAAACAGATCCCTGATATTTCCCTTTTAAAATAGAAAGAGAGACTGAGAACACAGAGTCCTCAACATCTTTGTCTGCAGCCCCTGTTACAAATGAACAGGAAGCCTCTATGCGGAGTATTCCTCTTCATTCATAACTTGTCGACATAGTATGTTTACCATGTCCACAATCATGAATGAACAGGAGGTGATGTAGATCACTTCCCATTCATTTATAATTGGGGACACAGTAAACATACCATGTCCTCAATTATTTACTAACACTCAGCGATTACTGAACGCTGACTGCTTGTACCTGCTCTCCATCCTGACTCGCTGTCACAGGAGGCTGATTGAGCGGTGCGGAGAGCTTGATCTCCTCTGGCAGCTGACTCCTCCCCCACATCGCCAGCCAGACCTCCTGTGACAAATGACTGCGCCCCCACACTGCCGCTGTCCTGCTCTGTCGCAGGAGGCTGAGCGGTGTGTGAGGAGAGCTCAGCCTCATGTGACACGCCGGCTGCTCACATCGCTCTCCTCCCCCGCACCGCTCAGCCTCCTGTGACAGCTTCTCCACTACCCACTGGACGCTGCCCTGTGTCAGAGGGGACACAGAAAAGCGCCCAGCTAGGAGGAGAGATACCAGGGATGCACTGCAATGCTGTCCGAAAGATGGCATTTTATAATGCCACTACAGAACGGCTTAGAATATTTTCAATGAATACACTGAACTGATTAATTTTAATGAGGAGTAATAAGAGATTTATTTCAAGAGTGAAGGGTTGTACATAAACATATCAACCTGGTTTGAAAGACGTGTGAAACATGGCTAATATCTACCTGATCACCAACACATATTTGATATATTTGTTGCTTGCAGCAATCGGGGTGCATTCACAGAACATACCATAACACATGTGTACAGCGAGCTGTAATAAGTAGCTGTGTATTTGTAGAAATATTTGCTGGCATTGTACATTTTCACAAATAGATTTTAGGTCTGAAGAACCAGCCAAGTCTTATTTTATCCAGGCAGGTGGTAAATCAACTTTGACGTTTATGAGAGAAATCTCCTACACAAGCGAGACAAAGAGTGCAATTTAAGAAACGTACCCGTAAGTCCAACTTTTTTGCGGCACATATTGCAACGATTCTTTTTTAGCTTGGCTTTTACAGGAGAGCTTGCCTGCTCTTCAGAGGAATTTTGTGCACTGTCTGATGGGGAAGCTACAAGAAAATAAACTGAGATTATGTAAAATGGCTCCACTCATTATATCCCGTCCCTATACAAGGATTAGACCCCATCAAAGCAAACAAAATCACTTACCATTAGCACTGTCTAACGTCTGTTCTGTTTCATTATGCTTTCTCTTGCCTTCTTGCAACACACTGCGCTGACTTACCCCCTTTTCTACGCTTGAAAAACTGAAACCTTTCTCTGAGAGTCTGCCAGTGCAATCTGGAACATCCAACAGCAACACCTTCCATAGCTAGTTTCAGATTAAAGCCCTATTTTCTAATAGCCACTACATCCTACATACAAATGTTATATCCATCCCTTTCCCAGCACAGGCTTATCAGGTCATTATCAAAATACATTATATTTTTACATGCAAACAAGGACTCATTTTGTGTCATGGGATTCTTCAACATGTGTACTAGAGGACTATTACCTGGCTTCCATGAATGTACCTTATAGTATATGTAAACCTAAACAGTGAGCAGCTCTTACTTGCTCCCTTTAGGTTAAAGTGTATGTATAGCCAAAACTTTTTTTTTAGTTCTGGGTAGGAGTAGGGAAGGGTTAAAAGGAGAACTATGGGGTCAGTGTTTTTCCCCATAGTTCTCCTTAGGGTAACGGGAGGACACAAACTAGCGTCCTCCCGTTACCCTAAGCTCAGTATACCGCAAACTACAGCTCGCGGTATACTGAGAAGCCGGAGCGGATCCCGACATCGATGTCGAGATCCGCCCAGTTGCGTGAGTGACAGCTGGCTCTGCCTATCTAGGGGCAGAGCCAGCTGTACCCGCCCCCTCCCCCGTCCGTTCCGCCAGTCAGAGAGGGGGGAATCCAGCCCCTCCCCTGTCACGGCAGAGAGCCGTGACAGGATCGAGAGGTGAGCGAACGCCGGTATATGTTCGCTCACCTCCTGATCTACTGAGCCGACCTGCGACAGTCTCATTGTCACAGGTTGGCTAGAACTATGAGGCGAGTGGAAATCACTCATCTCATAGTTCTCCTTTAAAACTAGGGATTCACGGATACCGTTTTTTCGGTATCGAGTACCGATATTTTGCTTTCGGTACTCGCCGATACAGAGTACCGATACTTCCATTGGCATGGAGCAGGCAACGGGAAGCCAACTCCATGTTTGGCCGGCTTGATTGTGATTGGCGGGGAAACCGGCTTCCTGGCCAATCAGCATGGAGCCGGCTGTTCGGCCAATCAGGAAGGCCCGGGGGTGGGTCATTATTCGCCGCCCAACTTCTTGATCGCACAGAAAGCTGGCTCCATGTTCCCCTATGGCACTGCCGGTCAGAGGAAATATTCCTCTGACCGGAGGTTCCGGTATCGGGGAAGGTATCGGAGCATTTGGGTGAGTACGTGTACCCGCCCAAATACTTGGTATCAGCACCGATACCAGTATCGGTGCACCCCTAGTTAAAACCTCGGCCAGGTTATTTTTTTGCCATCTGTGTACTAATGGGGAATTTTCCCTTCACTTCCTGTCCAAGACACAGCAGAAAGTTAGAGGAAATCTCCCAAGTGAGAAGAATTCCTCCCTTAGTTGTCCCCATAAGAGGTGACCCCCATTAGAAGCTTTCCTCTCATTTTCTGTCTTGGCAACAAAGAACAGCAGGACAAAGAGGGTCAGATCTCCCCAATGGGGGCAGCAATAAAAACATGACAAGAGGGTCTAAACTTTTCCCCACTCTATCCAAAACTAAAAAAGGATTCATCTTTAAATATATCAATGAAAGAGTTTTGTTATATATGTTCGATAAAATTCTAATGCCTTTTTTTCTTTCTTTGTTACCATCTCTATTTACATGGAAGCGATTACCTATCACTTGTCTTTCTATCATCCTGCCACAAGGACAGGAACTGAGGTGCAATTCCCCAGACAGCAATTACATCCTAAATTTGTAAAGCTAACCATACACTTGCCACTGGTCTCACCTGAACAGTGACTACAGCCGATTGGCAGCAGGTCTTGGCCGAAATTCAATCACTGTATGGCCAACTTAAAAAAATGTTTTATATACTATGAAAGGATTAATTAAGAGTCAGTGACTCTTACATCACATGAAGTACAAGTATGCAGATTAGGAAGGGAAAAATTAAATCCATATCAGCATACTTATTCAGAGTCCATAAAATATTGAAGATGGTAACATGAGAGGCCAGGCAAGCAGTATTTTCAGAACTTTTATTTCTCTCATGACAGTTCTCTTTTAAAGCTGAAAGTCAAGCAAACATCTAAGCATACAAAGGAAATACAGATTAAGGATCTGCATTTTTGCCTCTTCAGTCCCAGGTTGTACACATCGCTGAGATCCGGAGCAGCCAAAAGGATGACACAACCTTTCTCAGTTAAAGTGCAACTAAAGCAAAAACTTTTTTTTTTTGAAGTTTTGGATAGTGTGCAGAGGGATTAGAACAGGTCAGGTTTTTATTGTGGTCTGTGTCCCCATTAGGAAGATTCACCCTCTCTACTTGTCCTGCTGACTGTTACCATTAAAAGTGATATAAATCTCAGAATTTGAGTTGTCATCAGAAATGGAATAGATGGGAAATCTACAGCAAATTGTAAATGTACACTGGGAAGTAAACGGGAAATATTTCCAAAATACTAAAGAGGAAGAGGACACAATACACCTAAAAGGGAAATGTAAACTGCACCATGTAAGCCAAATTGTCTTTAATTGCCAACCTATACCCACGATTCAAAGTTCACAGGGAACTCCTATCAGGGTTATATTCTGAGGGGAAGCACTGTGCCAAGTGATCAGTAAGGAACAAGTTGAAAATCCCCGTTCTATACAATTTACAATGTAAGGACACGCATATCCCCAACATATATGTAACCACAATGGACAACACTAGGCACACTACATCATTCAGGGTCAGATCTCACCTGGTGGATCTTTTGTTTCAGAAGTTCTGTCCTCTGTGGTTTCAGCTGGTGAAGAGGACACCGATTCTGGGAGTGGCAAGGAACTGACCAACATTGAAAAGACAAAAAAAAAATCAAAGAGCTGCAAGTAACCAAAAAAGCAGCAGGGCATACAGTATGCTAATGAGGTGTGCTTACTGAAAACCAACAAGGAGTCTGCAAGACTTGTAAATCTGCAACTAAAGCTACAGGCTGCATGTATCTACTTTTTAAGAGTGTATGGGAGGCAAGAAAACTTACCTTGCTTGTGCTTGTGGCAACACAGACTCTTCTGGTTCAGATACCGGAGGTGCGACAGTCTGTTGTAAGGAGGGAACCTCCACCCCGCTCCCCATTGACAGCACTAAAAGCAAAACAGAACAAAATCAATATCACTGTAGATACAGTCCTATCATTCAGTACAACTGGCTTTTTTTCCTGAGCCACTGAGTCCCAGTATGCCAAAGATGTTACAATCTCCTACCAAGCTGAGAGGTGCTTCATCCCTTGACCTGTAGTATGAATACCTAGTGGCACAGTTTACACTCATTCCGGATCTAAACATTCCTTTCACAGAGTGTACTGCACAGCTACAGAAACAGCAATCCTTCTTTGATCAAGACACTTTTTAATACCATGTACAGGTATTATAGCGTATATAAAAATTACTACATCTAATGAAGGGACAACTATTATCTGTTTATTTCTTACAAATCATTTGTTTCGATGTTATGCGTGACCCAATTCTTACAAAAGTAATGAATGAACCCACTGCACTACAATTTAGTCATTTCATCTGAGCCAAGAAATAAAATAATACTAATATAAAGTATCCGCCTTGATGTAAATCCCAGATTCAAAATGTAGATAAGACCTTAACTAAGGCCCAAGTGGGCACGAAGCCCTATCCCTTCTGCAGCTAACCACTGAAGAGAACTTCACAGTGGTTACATAAGTGCTGAATGATCGTTTGTATCAAGTGTTTATATGTAAGCTGCCTTTATTTATCTCTCATGCATTGTGGGATGCGACAGGTCACTGCAAGGCAGGTAAAAGCAGAAAAAAAAAGTGAAAAGGGCAAGGGTGCCATAAAAATAAATGGACTACCTGCTAGGAGTCAGGTAGTCCACTGACCATGTTTAGAGTTGGGGGGAAAAAAACCGGACTTGATTTAGGTAGAAATTGGAAAGCACCTACAAGCACAGTTACAAGGTTCTACCTGGTGGACTGCTCCTGCCACCGCTGCTGTTCTGTCTCTGTAGATGTTCTTTGTAGCATACCGAACAGAGGCCATTGGTACGTGGGTTACCATAAAATCCACAGCCATTGGAACAAAGCAGCGGCGCCTGATTGTGGTTCGTCTCCTGTGCCATTTTCATCCACCTTGCAACTGAAATAGAAAATGATAAAAGGGCTTCTGTAAGTTTGCAAATGCAAGGCTCATTCTGCAACAGATTAGATCAGTGTAGATAGTATTGGAATAGAGTTGGAGTTGCAGAAATCACCCAGTATATTAGAGAAATCCAAGTATGATCTATCCATCTAAAAAAAAAATAATGGGAATTTGCAAATCACTACAAGAACAGGACGCTCTTTTACCAAAGAGGATGAGAGCATCCACCAATGTGAAATCTTCCCCTGACCGGAAGTGCCTGTATCAGGAAAGGTATCGGAGCATTACTAGTATCAGTGCATTGCTACTCATAATTAAAGTGACACTAAACACAGGAGTTAAATCTTAAAAATACATTCAAGTACCTTAACTATTAACAAAAATGTATCTTATTGAATTGGTGCTGACACTGTCCTTCCTTCTGGAGGGGGGCTACTTTTGTTCCCCATGATCCCTGTTTGTGTTGTAAAGTAATTACCGCTCCAAGCTCACTCCTGTGATAAACTATAATTTCAATAAAAAATAGTAACTAAGCATGAGATTGTAGTCCATCAATAGGAGCAAGCTTGGAGCGGTGACTACTTTACAACACAAACAGGGACCATGGAGAAGAAAAGTAGCCCCCCTCCAGAAGGAAGGACAGGGTCAGCACCAATTCAGAGATGATTTGAGAATCTACAGCCGAGTGATACACAAATAAGATACATTTTTGTTAATAGTTGAAGTACTTGAATGCACTTTTAAAGATTTAACTCTTGAAAGTAGTGGCACTTTGAAGTATAAGGCCCCATTCACATTGAGCGATTCGCAAATCGCGTGTTTGTCGCGCAAATGCTTGCATTGAGCAAGCTAGAATCGCGGCAAAATCCACTCCAAAAAGGGTCCTGCTGTAGCGATGCACGACCCGCGACAGCGACGGACAGAGCCCCATTAAGATGCATTGGAGAGCGATATCGCGCGGTAAATAGCCGCGATATCGCGGGAATTACCGCGCGATAAATCGCTCAGTGTGAATGGGGCCGTAGGGCTATTTACTGGGTTTTTTTTCCTACTGTAAAACACTGAAGTTGTACGGCATGTAAATGCTTTTCAAGTAGAAATCCCATTCTTTCCTATGTGGCTGATTTCACATTATACACTGAAATCTGGAAGCTAAGGGTCCATTGACACCAATACGTGTGAATTACCACACACGCATAGGTGTAAATGGGCCCTTAACGTTCATCACATTTTTACTCTTCCCTTCACAGTCACCCACTGTCTGTGTTGACCCACAGAGCATCACATACTATAATTGGAATGTCAAAGGGCAAGAGGCAAGAGGCAAAGTGATCAAATGGCCAAAAAGGTGTTATAGTAAAGCAAACATCACATTGTAGCTCGCTTCAAATGCCTGTACTGATCTGTGTCCGCACTCTCTCCGCGCCAAAAGCAGCATTAACCTGAAAAACTACTCCAAGCAGAATTTGGCATGCCTAGCGAAGCGCCAAACAATACCACAGCTTGTTACCGCTATGCTAACTATAACCAAAACTAACAGCCTTTACCACCAAAGAGCTGAAATGTCCTAATAAGACCCCCATTCCCGAACACTAATGCAATGACAAATGCTTCACTGACACCATTTTCTGCCCAGGAATCCATACTGCCATGTTGTGTCACTGAGGACACACACAAACACACACACACACACACACACACACACACACACACACACGTCTCACTGCCATCAACACTCTCCTGGAACAAGGGCCAGTTTCAGACTTCCTGGTAAGCCTTGTTCTGGTCAGCACAGAGCTGCAGAGTCTGATTTCTAAGGAGTGTAGTGTTTCCCAGTGTTCATGTTGCCTACGCTCAGCTGTACTAAACTCGGCTGTAGTCACTAGATCTGCTGCATGGACTAAAAATATTTTCAGGAAATGTGAGAGATAAATGTGTTTGCATGTACTGTTCACTGTGCGCTACAGTTATCTGATTGCCAAGACATCCCCAATATCTGTATCCTGGAAGAAAAAAAAATAATAATTAACTAGAGCAGCACTGTCAGTCCCTGCTGTATGTTAAAATAATGTCCCACCTTGTTGCTCTGACCACGTTTCATGTTGCACCTGTATGTAGGGCAATTCATAAAATGTGGTCACATTCCCAGCCCCCACCCCAAACTCGCCCCGCACACTTAACTGAATCGCAGGGTGCTTCTCTCTGGATCGTGCCGTGTATATCTGAATATGCAGGGACACCTATAGTTTATAGAAGAGAGCTGGCCTGAAAAAAAGAAAACAAATGCAGCCACAACTGGCTGGGGACTGGTAAGCTGCAACCTATCACAAGTTTGTTCTTCAGGTCTTGCTTTATTCATATATTAGTGCTACACTAATGGGTGAATCCATGCTTAATCCTCCAAATCAATTTTTGATGCAAGTACCAAATAATTAATGTTAAATTGGAAAAGTAAAATTGGTTTGCAAAAAAAAAAAAATAATGTTTAGAAATATAACCCCCGAGCTTTAAAAGAGAATACATTATTTTTTCTTCTTGCCAATGTACTCCTGTGACCCCAAAGTCCACACATAGGGGGTTACTGCTCCCTATATGCTGCACAGAACCGAGCTACAATATTGTCGGGACCCACCCCACTGCCTGATTGACAGCTGGCTCTCCCCCTCTAGAGCCAAAGCCAGTTGTGCCCGCCCCCTCCCTGTCCCTCCAATGAGTGCTGGAGGAACAGAGAAAGGAGGGGGGATCTCTGCAGAGTGGCGACTGATAAGTCACCATTCTCTACAAAGGAGAAGTGGTTCGTGATCGCTCAGTTCTTGGTCTATAGAACCGGCATGTGACACAAGCAGTGTCCCTCACCGGCTCCAAGTATTGGGAAGACGACATTTTACTCTCCCCATACTTCTCCTTTAAAATAGTCTCTATGATACTTTAAAGCAATCCTATAGCCAGCTAACAAGACACCTACTTTTAGGGACACAGCACCCTGGGATCCCTGACAAGCAGTGAACAGCTTCCTGACCACTTGCTTTGACTTACCCCTTTCCACCTCACGTGATTCACTATTACTAGGGCCACCATCAGAGTGATAACAGACTGACACAAAAGGGGGAGCAGGACAGAGCCAGGGAACAGGAAGCAGAGAAAAGGGCACCACTACCTAAGCCTCCAACGATTGGACCTGAAGGTGGATACCACACAAGGTAAAAGGTCTTTTCTTTTTAAACCTTCATTGTACTCTACTTGGAAATGTATCTCACAAATACTATCCAGGACTAGCTGCACTTACAAGAAAATGGTAATCCATATATAAACAAGGAGTCACAGGCTACATGGAAATCCCCGTGCCTTGAAGTCTTTATGAAAGCAGGACCAACAAAGATTAAAATACAAAACATGGCAATAAAAAAGGCTTTCCGGGAAAGAGAGAAGAGATTGTGTCCTAGAACACCTTCATTTGTATTAAAACGTGTTTGCATGGCAGCCCCGATAATATACAACATGAACAACTATACTGTGAAACCAGTGGTCGCCTTTTCTGTTACTTTTCATATCTTCTCCTGATCAACTTTCAGAAGTAACCTCCAATATCTTCTTATCACAAATCACCACAGGCACAGCTCCGAAAGTAATTCATGCTATTAGTTGATGCCACCACCCTCTATTGTTTACCAGAGCTGGCTGCCTCCACAAGCCGGGCTATAAACAGACAGTAGGAATCTCAAAATGAGTCAAACTGTAAAACAAAATCTGAAGGTTTCTTACTACCTCTGTAATCAGTTACTAAAATTTGTAAACCCTCAAAAAAAATATTTTTTTATTAAATGGTTCTGCATTCACCTCTACTACATGGGATACCTGTGACCAAGTATAAAAACTGTAGGAAGGCAGAGCAGATGCCTATAGCAATAAAGGAACAATATAAAATACGTAGGCTAATTGTGGCTTCAATAACTAGTATGGCCCCTTTCACACGGGCGGGTCCAATCGGTGGACCCCATGCTAGTCTATGCTAGGCAATCGTTAACACCCGGTTACCCCAGACTCCGGCTAGGTCCGGAAAAACAAATGGAACAGTTTTCCACTTCAACATGCCTAATCGTGCCGGATTTCGGGTAATCTGATGTAAACGGACACATGTCCCTTTACATCCGATTCCCCGTACACCAACATGGGGTCCACTCATTTCAGTAAATCGCAACATGGAGGAAAAAAAAACTGAAAGGAAACGGATGTCACAGGGGTGACATCTGAACTGTACCACTCCGATCAGAAGGGGATCCATGCACAGATCCCCTCCTGACCAGCCCGTGTAAAAGGGGCCAAAGTCATTGACCTGGAACAAGCATGCCAATAAGTCTGAGAATTCCTAGCGTCAGGCCTACATATGCTTATTCTGTGCTTCCTGCCCTCTCTATGGTCATGGCGCTAACTTCCTTTTCCTCGATATCTAAAAATAAAGAAAGCTTGCCCCATGACCAAGATCATCCTCCTGCAGCAATCATAGTAATTTAGGACAGCAGAGCACTGTATAGCAACTAACTCTCCCTACACAGACTGTCCGCTCGCCCTAAACCACTCCAGCATACATTGACCAATGTCAGATGGGAACCCACTTTTATAGTGAGGGGGCTGACACATAAAACCGCCCCTATTAGCCATTGTAACCCTGCTGACCACAGCTGAAAGGTCAGGCAGTCCATAATGGTAAAAGAAAAAAATTAGCCGGGGGAATTTCCACAATAATTCACCGTAACCACAAATTTCAAACCTGTTGGGATCTGCCACAAACCCATGACAGCGACAAACCCGGACCTCATCTCTAGTTGCAAAATGGGATAAGAGGCAGCAAATGTCAAACCTTGATAAACCGGCCCCACGGATTATGACTTTTCTATGAATAATCCCTTGCAACAAAGTTCACTCTGTAAAATCCAAAGAGGGTGTCATGACAGTGACCTATGTAGGGCTAATATTCATCCATTCCTACCCTGGAACAC